TGGAGGAATCGAACCTGGGTCGGCCGCATGCAAGGCAAATGCCTTACCCACTGTGATATTGCTCCATAATCATAAAAAAAAATTGTCCACTATAGGACTTTCCCAAACCTGTTTTCCCTAAGGGCATCCTCATCTTAACTTTTGTTGACATTTCCTAGTTGGTATGTAGTAGTGAGAAAGTCTCACTAAACTAATTTTATATTTCTATTTAATCTCTTTACATGTTATTGCCACTAAATATTTTTCCTGAAAAGTTCCTAAAATCTTTTAATTCTGAAGTGATTGTTTTCAGTCTTGAACTGGACAATGAGAAGTAACTTATAAATCATCCTGAATGCTATTTTAACCATACTACTTTATAGATCTAAGATATTCAGTATTGCCTTTCATATCATTTAAAGCACAGAACTTCTTTTGTATCTATCTTAAAGAGGTTACAGAGGCTCAATTTTCTTCCTTTAATATAAGAAAGACTTTATATATCTATATTCAATTCTATATCTGTTTCCATGATACCACAGAGAGCATGATTATTCTTTATTCTAAGTAAAGGAGCTAACTAAACCTCTACCTACTCCTGCATTTTCAGAGTAAAATCTTATTAAAATTAGAGGCATTCCTTAATGATTTTATTCTGAGTAATATCTCAGAATTTACAGCCAAGTATAAGCAGTTCTATAGGCTCCCATGCACTCAACAACTTTAAATTCCTTTGTAGACCATGTTAGCCTGCTGGCTTGAGAGGAACACCTGCAGGGTTACTCTAATTTTATAGGTCTGAAAGGATCATTTCAAATTTAGAGTGAGATTGCAAGGTGATGATTATTAATGGGAGCATTAAGTCTCTGAAGTGGGCTAGAGTGTGTATAATATCATTTTATTTATTTATTTATTTATTTATTTTTTGAGGGATGAGAAATATTTTAATGGATTGAGACTACTGATTGAGCATCAGCCAAGCTTTCAAGTAGATCACTGCCAAAAAGAACATTTTTAAAAAATTTATTAGTGAAACACTATGAGGTACAGTTGTAGACTTACAAATGTTTATGCTTGGGTTTCAGTTATACAAAGAACTTCTATTTATGAGAGAAAATATCAAAGACTTCAAGTGACAAATGTTGTGTATCCTAAGAAATATTTCTCTGATTAAGCAAATGTTTTTGAATTAACTCCCATGACTGCTGTGTTTCATTATAAGTTTGGGGAATAAAACATAAGTGGGCAAAATTCCAATCACATTTTAAATGAGCTCTAGTTTGTCTGTTTTTTATTTCATCACCTAGAAAAACATGGCTTGTAAATCTGCTATTTGAGTGACAATCTTAGCATCAATTTGTTGTTACTGTGTCATGATGGACTAGCATTCTTATGCCAGTTTTCAACAAAATGGACCATTTGGATGCCCTGGTGGAGGGCGATTCAAAAGCAGTCCAGGTGATGGTTAATGCTATTAATTACATGATTCCAAAGATAAGCATGGATATAAACCATCCAGATCTTTTTAGTATCTTCTCTAACAAACTGTCTACAACACACATTGATTGAAGGAAAAACTGCCATGCCCTGGGTGGCATGCATAGAGTCCCTCTTCCCCACTCCCTCCCTTCCCCAAGTAGGGAATCTGTATCTCTAAAGCATGTGCTGAAATTTAGGCAAGTGAGCAATCTACAAGAGATACAGACCAAAGCCTACCTTTATTTATTAATACTCACTTTTCCTATGGGGCTGGAGCGATAGCACAGCGGGTAGGGCATTTGCCTTGCACAGGGCCCACACGGCCAACCCGACTTTGATTTCTCTGCTCCTCTCAGAGAGCCCAGCAAGCTACTGAGAGTTCCTCCCCCGCAAGGCAAAGCCTGGCAAGCTACCCGTGAGGTACTTGATATGCCAAACACAGTAAAACAAGTCTCATGATGGAGACGTTATTGGGCCCGCTCAAGCAAATTGATGAATGGGAGGACAGTGCTACAGTGCTATCTGGGAATCACTTTTTCTATTAAGATAACATAAGGTTATCTTTACACATGTTTGTATGAAACAATTTTCTTTTCTTTTTTGTGAAATTGAAGTCAGATTGTATTAGTTCACTAAGATTTTGAATATCATTTTATTTTAATGAAAATTTTATAGAACTGATTGTTCAACCTTGCAAAGAACTTCATTTTATTTCACAATCACTTTTAATATTTTTTGAAACATGAATGCAAAGAAATAATTTGAATAATCAGAAACATACTTTATCTTTCTTTTGCTTTATTTAATTTAATTTTTTTGTTAGTACTGGAATTGAATATAGGGCCTTACATAATACAAGGTGTGTGCTCTACCACTGAGTCACATCCCCAGACCTAAGAAATGTATTCACAATTTCAGAAAGCAGACTTTATTTTCTTAACGTCAGGTAAGTTAAAGATAAGGAAAATAACAAGTATAAGCATTAAGCATGATTTCCTTCATGTATGACTATTTAGCATCTCAGTGCGATGTTGTCACAACCAATATCCAAAGTAACAGGAGAACCTACTATTTTGATGTATGTCATTCTATTCAGATGATGAATCAATAAGACAGATTTTGTCCCAAAATGGTAGTTTCTCTTTGGTAGGTTCTTGGAATTGAAAGAGAATAGGACAAAAACTACTTATTTCCTAGATCTTCTGTCACCACATCTTTGAAGAGTTGAGACGATTAATTTTATTTTGAGACTAAGTAGAGTTGAGAATATTTTTCTTTGCCCATATGCTGCACTTAAAAAAACCTGATATTCCATGGTTTCATATAGATAGAAGCAGAAAAATCAGTTTTACATTTTTGTTCTTGTTGCTGATTTGACTTTCATACCTCCTCAAAAAACAACTAAATATCCTCTTTACATATTTTATTTTTAAATTAATGGATACATTTGCTTGTTGCAATATTACAAATTTTGGACTTTTAATTTTCTTCTGATTGTATAAAAATTAAAGAATAATTTGTTAGTGATAGACATTGTCATCAAAATTGTATGGCAGCTTGATCATGTATTTATTTACTGTGGTCAAGAGCAGCTGTGAGGGGTTGGAGCAATAGCACAGAGGATAGGGTATTTGCCTTGCATGCGGCTGACCCTGGTTCAATTCCCAGCTTCCCATATGATCCCCCAAGCACCGCTAGGAGTAATTCCTGAATGCAAAGCCAAGAGTTACCAATTAAAAGCCCTAGTGCATTGCCAGGTGTGACGCAAAAAGCATAAAAAAAAGAGCAGCTGTGAAATGAACTAATGAATAATGAATAAATTGGGCTCGAGCTACCAATTAAAGGTAAGAATAGCGTTCGGTGCATCCCCACTCTAGAAAGTGAGTAGGATTTTTAGTTTTCTGGGAATTAGAATTCTACCAGCAATCTTCCACTAAGATGGGACAGATTCTGGGCCTTCCCAAGATCTTTCATAGTTTCTCGAGTCATACTGAACAGGCGAAGACGTTTATAAATTTGATTGAGTGTCTCTCCCACAAGACAGGGAACCCAAAACTCTACATTTCCAGAGACCAGCTCTGGTCCTGCCTTAAAGTAGTTTATGAAGTAAACCCATGGTTCCTGGATGGACTCTAGAAACCAAGATTTGGAAAAAAGTTAAGGAAAATGTCTATAAGGCATCTAAGGAAGGGACTAAGATTCCCCTGGAATTCTGGTTTACATGGAAGATTGTTGATTCTATTCTCCTGTTTTGGAAAAGCACAGTTGAGGAGGAGGAGAATATTTAATCAAAATGGCTATACTTGTATCTTTTTGGCTGGAGAGATAGTGCAGAAGGTAAGATGCTTGCCTCACATGTTACAGATCCTGATTGGATCTCTGACACCAGATATGATTCTAAGCACTGCTCAGGTTCACTCCTAAGCACCAGAAATAGTTTCCTGAGCACCATTGGGTATGGTTCCAAATGCTACCCAAAGAACTTTTACAATTTAAGAAAATGATAAAAAGACACTACATCACTTATTTCTATCAAATTTAAAGTAAATTTATAACAAAATTATACCATAGATTAAAAAGGATCAAATAAAAATAATAGTGGTTGTATAAGAATGTTAAAGGCAATTCTGATCTAATCTTTAGTATTATCATAGTAAACTTTTGATAAAATCAAATTAAAAAATTATATATGAATCACTGTATATTTAATTACATATCACATCATTAAATGTGGAGGATTACTTGTAGTATGTTTCTAAAAAGTAGGGTTTCCCTTCCCTCCATTTCCCCATCATTTGTATAATACTTATACAATTAAGAGAAAGGTTTTTTTCTTTTTTTGGTTTGGTTTTGTTTTGGATCACCTCAGTCATGCTCATGGCTTACTCCTGGCTCTGCATTCAAAGAATCACTACTGATGTGCTTGGTGGGAGGGGTGCCAGTGATCAAACCCGGGTCAGCCACATGCAAGGCAAGTGCCCTTTTCACTATATTATTACTCTGACTCCAAGAAAAGTATTAACTAAAGCAATAAAATCACCTCAGAAAGTCAACTTTTGTGGTCAAATCAATTTGTTTACATAGATAGTATTTAAGCAGGATGGATTTGAACTTCTGGTCATGGCTTCCAAATTTTGCAGTGTGGGTGAAAGAAGAAAGTCGACCCTCTCTTCAATATTTAACAGAATTCTAACCGGGGTAAATAGAGTATTTACATATTAGGGCAGTGTAATACATATGCAAATGCAGTACAGTTATTTAATTAGTAACTTTCTGTTTGGGAAAAAAACAGTCATATTGCATTTAAAAGTATATGAATTCATCCTATTTTCTTTAATGATAGAATTTAAAAGCATATTTTATTTTATTTTTAGTTTTGTTTCATGACTTCCAAGTACCTCTTGATTTGCAGATAACCTCCTCATCCCTTCCCCCATCCAAACACTCTTGCAGAGTTTACTATTATTAGTTTACTATTATTATGTAGATGTTATGGTAGATAATGAGATAAAATAATGAAAAGACACTATGAGTATACTTACTTGAAAATCACGAAAATTGCCAGCGAAATCACTAGTGCGAATATTGACATAGAATGACCCACAATAGCCAAGTAGTACAAATTGTATGCATTCTGGAAAAGCCATAATAATAACAAAAGGTAGTTAAAAATTGGTGAAAGAATAATTATAGAATACAGAAAATTATTTATATTTTTAAAATATCATTACAAATCACTATTTAGAAGAATAAAATAAAAATATGATAAGAGGAGAATGTTGAAAAACAATTATCTAAATTTTAGTTAAAGAAGCTAAGACAAAGAATGCAAAAGAAAGGAAATATTAAATTACATAGTGACCTAGGACAGCACTTGAGTGGATTAGCAACAATATGGTTTAGTTCTTAAAAAATTGAATACCTTCTAGTAAGATAGATATAAAGGAAAAAAGACCGCCCAAATTAAAAAGATATTCACACAAAACCCCGTGCAACTCTTTGTAGAGGTATTATTTATAAAAGTTTAAAAATGGGAACAACACAACATCTATTAATGGATAAATACAGTTTATTCAGAACAGAATACTATTCAACCAATAAGAGAAATAGAGAAGTCATGCATGGTAAAACATGGTTAAACCTTAAGAACGCTATGCTAAAGAAGCCAGTAACAGAATACCACATATTGTATAATCTCATTTATATAAAATATACAAAACAAAAAATATATGGAGACAGAACATAGATCAATGGCTATTGAGAAATTAATTTGCTATTATTTATAGATTGTAAATTGTGGTTTATACTTAATGCTTTACAAATTAAACTGCACAAAATATATAATTTTCATTAGTTGGATGAATCATGAATCGTGGCTAGCGTGAATAAATGGCAAAGTTTAGAGAGGCATTTTATAAATCTCTTCCTTATAATTTATCAAACAAATATCTTGCCATTAGCTTTTATTTTTAATTTGTAGATATATGTATGTCCCTATCCTCCATCAGTATTTTCAGTTTTGCATGTTTTATTTTTTAAGAAAATTTAATTTCATTCAGTGCTTTCAGAATATTGCTTTAAACATATTTATTTTTCTTAAATAGTTGTCTCAATAATGTGTAAAATGAAACCAACTGCTCATAATTTAGTTACATTCTTGTGTCATGCACAAGAATGAAAAGTGTGTGCTTTATTAAATGCTTGTTTGATTTCTTCAAATTTTGTTCATGCCTGTATTAGATGAAAGATTTGTGGAAAGAATTTCAATGGCTATATTCAGTGTTGAGAGAGACATTTGTTCTTAAAATTATTTGTTTTCTTCTTAGAGTGTGTGAGAAAGTGAAAAAGGGCAACACTGGACATTGCTTTTTTGGATGTGTGTGTACTGTTCACAATTAAAGTAATTATTACAGTTTTCCCTTGAAAAATTATTAGTACTTATTCAGGAATTTCCTTATTTAGTGAGATGTGACTACAATCAGACCTTATTAAGTAAATAGTTCTTCATTAGAATGGGACATTTGTTTCTCAGAGGTGATTAAGCAACTTAGGAAGAGTCAGAGGGCTTAGTGCCCTTGGCCCTCTCTTGTAATGAGGTGACCTTTGGCTAACTAGTTACTAAGAAATCTATTAATCTTGCAAGTTGTTTGCTTGCTGTTTGTTTTGCTTTAATAAAAAGAAATTTTCCTACCCTTAAAGTTTCTCTACAGAAACAAAATACTGATGTATAAAATACTGATTTTTAGCTTCCAACAGTGATTATTTAACAAACTGTGCTATCTTTGAAAGAGATAGTAGATTTCTGTTGCAGCCACCAGGCTTTTTTTTTTTTTTTTTGAGATGCCTCCATGAATCTACACTGACCAATTCTTTCTCAGAGAATCTACACTGACCAATTCTTTCTCAGAGAATCTACACTGACCAATTCTTTCTCAGAGAATCTACACTGACCAATTCTTTCTCTCTGGGCAGAAACTGTAGATTTGGAGATTCTCCACCTCCTGTTCCCCACCTGTTTCTGATACATTTGAAGAGAGATGCTCCCCCATCCAGTTAATTTAAAAGTTTCAGAATGGAGCACTGTAACACTGCCCTTCATTTGTTCATCGATTTGCTTGAGCGGGCACCAGTAACATCTCCGTTGTAAGACTTATTGTTACTGTTTTTGGCATATCAATACTCCACGGGAGCTTGCCAGCTCTGCTGTGTGGGTGAGATACTTTTGGTAGCTTGCCAGGAACTCCGAGAGGGATGGAAGAATCAAACTCAGATCAGCTGCATGCAAGGCAAACTCTGTACCCGCTGTGCTGTCACCCAAGCCCAATGGAGATAGTATAAAAATATTTAACAGCTAATAATCCAGAGTTCCAACTAATCACTATGGACTTACCCTGAAAATAATATTCATGGATTGATGAGAAGACCCCAGTCAAAACTTCCTCAAGGTCTGGTAGTAAGTAAAACTGTCATGGACATTGTGGAGTAGGGAGTGGGGCAACTACTGAATTGTGACTTATGAAAAAAACAGTGGTTTTGGAACTCTTCCAAAAGAAGACCCGGAATACCTGGAAATGCTACCTAGTATCTGGCAGAATAGGGGATCTCATCATCTGGTCCAAGGTAATTCCTGCCCTGGTATAAACAAACTGATTACATATGCTGATGGAACCTTCTCATCAACACTGAATACCAACCAAAAAGTAGCACTATAGCACTGTCCTCCCCGTTCTTCATTGATTTGCTCAAGGGGGCACCAGTAACGTTTCTATTGTGAGACCTGTTGTTACTGTTTTTGACATATTGAATAAAAAGTAAAACTTTTTTTCCTTTAATGTCACTTCATAAAGTCTACAGATCTTAAAGTTTATGATATGATTTCCTCTTATAAAAATAGGTTGGCTTCTTGGTAGCAGGTATTTTACTGTTATAGCATGATTTATGTGTGTAAACAATACCATTCTTGCCAATACTGAACATTTCAATAGAACCTACCTGTAGCTTCTCAGGAGTAAAAGCATTGCACATACTGTAGTTGGACCAGGTGCGATTATTCTCCGGATGCTTATACCAATCCCCATTTTCATCACAGTATTTTGTAACTGTTTCTGTTATGAAACATAATAGTGTTTACATTGCTATTGCATTGTACATATGAGAAAACAGAGGCTATGAGTTATGTTCCTTTTTACTGATAATGAACTAGTACTGTAAAAATCAATTAAAATTTACATTTTCCAGATTTGCTCTAGTTTTTCAAAGTATCTCTTTAATGCATTATCTCTGCAGTGACTCAAAGAAACCTATAGCAATCCAAAAATATTTTGTAATCCTAACAGTCTAACTTTTGATAGCTTCTTGAAGCATTTTCATCATAATTAAAGTAAAAAGTTTTCATACTTTTGAATAATCCTCTTACAAATGATTTTTTTAAGAGTAGGTATAACAGAATTATACACTGAAGATCAGAATAACATACTAAAATTTGGAAAACACTGCCACTGTTTTAAAGAATTATGGAAACAATTTGTATTAACAAGACTTATTTATATGAAACATCATTGAGATTTTATATATAGAATAATTATCACTAACTTGGGTTAATCAATATGCTAAGCACTAGTATAAAATGTCCTTTAATTTTATGGTTGTTACTGTTACTGTGTCTGGCATATCGAATACTCTCGGTAGCTTGCTGGGCTCTCCGAGAGGGGCGGAGGAATCGAACTCGGGTCGGCCATGTTGGCCGCTTGTAAGGCGAACGCCCTACCCGCTGTGCTATCACTCCAGCCCTGCTATGATAGTCTTAGATAAATTTAATTATTTTTAGCTATTTGACTCAGCACCAAATTACACAAGATTTTAACTAAAATTGTAGATTTGTTTGTATGTAAATTATTTAAAATGGATGAAATAAATGCAAATTTACAATGATGTCAAAAATAGTTCAAAAACAGAACAACGGAAAAGCAAAGGCTGTTCAATCAGCTGAACAGAATTAATGCTTAATGGAAATCTGTTACAAAATTACACAGAAAATAATTTTGTTATAAATTTGGGGAGACAATCTTTCAGCAAAATCTAAAGAATCACTATTGGAGAACTCATAATGTTTTCAAAACTGACATTAAAAAGTTGTCAATAAATGCGTGCATTTTGTTTGCCAATTATGACTATTATCAGTTTATTTGGCATTAAAATGTTGTTTGAACTGCAGTATTTTGTCTTTTTTTGTTTTGTTTTGTTTTTTGAGTCACACCTGGCAATGCTCAGGGGTTACTCCTTGCTCTGCACTCAGGAATTACTCCTGGTAATGCTTGGGGGACCATATGGGATGCTGGGAATTGAGCCCGGGCCAGCCATGTGCAAGGCAAATGCCCTACCTGCTGTGCTATATCGCTCCAGCCCCAGCATTTTGTCTTAATGATATTGTCATAAAGTAACTTTTATTTTATCAAATGGCTATAATTGATTTTAATAAATTGTGTAGCTACACATGTGAAAATATACTATATGAGAAGGACGGTGATCCTAGTGATGAAATCCATCCCAGTTGTGATGAAGTCCATTCCAGTTGTGAGGACTATAGGAAATGCTGCTTGGTTTTGTCTTTTTTTAAAAATTTTCCGTAGATCACACCCATTAATGCTCAGAATTTAGTCCTGGATCCCAGGATTAGCTCAAGGATCACTTCTGGTGAGGGTCCTAGGACAATATATGCTAGCCAGGGATCAAACCTGTAAGGTGAGTGACCTGTCCATTGTACTATTGCTCCAGCTCCCATTTTGTTTTGTCTTGACTAAAGTTTGTGTCTAGGCATTTCCTGCTTATAATGACTGTAGTGATCAAGAATCACTTGGCAAATATTTCAAAATTTGAAGAAAGTATATGTAATATATGAGTTTTCCCTTTGAAAAACAAACATCCCCATTTATCCACATTGTCTTTTGTCAGCCTGGAGCCTATCTGCATATGCTAATATTGACAATTCCTACTTAAATACTTGGTGGCCTAACCCGTGAAGAGGACAATATCCACCTGTCTCAGTCTAGATTCATATGAAAGCCGCTTTACAGAGATTCACAGACCCTGTCCACAGTGATTAATATTTGATTGATATATAGAGTGTGAGAAATAAACATTTTTAAAAAGCACATGAAATTTGAAGGGTGTCAAAGTTGGGAATCATTCTTCTAGCCATATGTTGACCATCTGCTCTGTGTCATTAATGTTGATTGAGTTTTTAACTCCAATAAATGGTCCTTAAATAACTTCTTGATAAATTTTGCTTTTTACATCAGGTTGTCAGTTTCTTTTGAATCTCAGTACTATTACCCACTCTTTTGTGATGATATAAAGAAGCACTTAGCTTAAAATGAAATGTGTCATTTCTGTAAGTCACTTTATGTATCATCAAGACATCACATTTGTTGAATATAGGTATTTTAAAGATATGCTTTATTTTTGAAGTGAATTTTTTCCCAAATAAATGGCTATCTAAAAATGAGACTGAATCTATGCCTGAAAATTCTTGTTTGGCTGATCCAAAACTTACCTTTTAGTAAATGATAGTAAATTATTATATCTACCTTGGCAAAAGTGCATTGCTACATTGGAACTGGTTTTGTAGCCTCAATAACAAGATAATATTTTTGTGTGTCAATCAATTTAACTCTAATATATTTGTCAAATCAAGATGAATGAAGTGTCATTTATTGGAAGAGTCAATAATGGCCTGAAGAATTATTCTCAAATAACCTGTAGTTAAAGTTTAGAATTTATAGCAGTGTACTGATGACCAGGGTAAAGCTCCTTTCCTTTTTACATTCCAACGTTCTCCTAAAAATAAGAATTTTCACAAGTGGTTCATATCTGTTGGTTTAAAAAATAGCCTAATCTAATCCCATCCATTTTTATGATCTGTATTTTACCCCATGAAAGTTTTATTTTAGAGACAAAGAAGATCTTCATGTTTAAAGAAAGCTCAAAAGATCTCTCCCAAACAGATCATCAAGGATAAACTGATCTCTTTTCCTAAATTTGGATTTCAGAAACTGTGTTGATGAGTTTCCCATGTGGTGCTATCATCGGTGAGAAATAATTTCTTGTTAGTCATATTCAGTGAGCACAGGTATCAGATGGGCTCATTGGGTCTGAAATGTGGGAACAACTCTTAGCAAATATTCTTTGGAAAATAAGGCAAGATAAAATTTTCCATAATTTCTTAAGCAAAAAACAAACATTCATCTTTTCAAAATGCTTTTTTCATCATGGATCTGATAATTCAGATTCTCCGTCAGGACTCTAGTTTCCCTTTCGCTGATAAAATGCTTTAACTTGTTCCATTAGTTGCGATACTGAATGAGAGAATATGCTTCAGAATTTGAAAAACATGTAGAGTATACCTAGGTAGATATATTTCATATTAGACCTTCTTAAAACAATGGAAGTTCTAAAAATATCATAGAGACATACAAAATGAAAAATTATCTTTCACCTGTTGGATCAAAGTCTGGAAAATAATCTGGACAGTGTTGAAAGGCTAGCACTCCTGCCGGTGTGTCATCCCAGCATGTCCATCCATCCCAGGTACGATTGCAAAATGGACCTAAACATTAGAAAGAAAGTTGTGTTTGTCAAGATTTTCAGGAAGCTCTATCGTTAAGCAGTTTTCTAGAATGTCCTGACCCTGCCCAGGCTGTCTTCACTGGGGCAACTCTGGAGGGGGTGGGGGGGGGGGGTTTGAGTTTCCAGAGACTATGAAATAAAGCTCCCAGAAGAGAGCAACACAGAATGTCCTGGAGCAAAAACCTCTTATACCCTAGCCCACTGAGGTACCAAAAGTAACACACATTTGTTTGGTTTTAATATACATGCTTGTAATCTCTTATATAAGGGCTTAAATGGCTCCAGGATGAAATACAACAATCTTCACATATTTTCCTCTTATGGTGGTGGAAAGGTGCACGGTGGTGGGATTGGTGTTTGAGTATTATCTGTAATAAATTTTTGTGAACAATTTTTGTTTGTTTGTTTGTTTGTTTTTTGGGTCACACCCGGCGATGCACAAGGGTTACTCCAGGCTTTGCACTCAGGAAATTACTCCTGGGGATGCTCAGAGGACCATATGGGATGCTGGGAATTGAACCTGCGTCGGCTGCATGCAAGGCAAGTGTCCTACCCACTATACTATGGCTCCAGCCCCTGTTGTGAACAACTTTATAAAAATAAAATATATAGATAAAAAAGCAGTATTCTGGGATTTTTCGATTTTGATATGAAAATAATAAAAACAATAGTAGCTAGAGAAACATAGAATTTAAATTTATAATGTAATTTAAATTTTATATATATTTGTATTTAACTATTTATTTGGTTTTGTGGCCACACCCAGCAAGGCTCAGGGCTTACTTCTGTATCTGTATTTAGGGATCACTCCTGGCAATGTTTGTGCCAGGAATCAAACCATGGTAAGTGCCATACTCCCTGTACTCTTTCTCTGGCCCTGGAATTTACATTTTAGTATGATTTTCCTTCATTTGTTTCCCCAAAGTTCATGTCATCTGCATGGAATGATTCTTTTAAAAATATCTCCAGAATTCCTTTAAGACAACTCTTGTGACTATGTGCAATGTCATCCTTAAGTTAAATACTTTTCTTAACCTATATAGCTGTGAAACTTATGTATTTTTATAAATTATTAATTTTCAAAGAATTTTCTGGGTATTTTTTTATTTTTAAACCAAGGATGATGCAATTGCCCTGAGGTTTTATTTTCCTTTTTTTTGAAATGTATTTGTAGCCAATTAGTAGCATTTTTGAAAAGTCTTATAGTTTACAATTATGCTTTGTTACCAGTCAAATAATGGTCAGTTTGATCGTTTTACGTACTCATCTCATCAACATTGACTTTAAGTGATTCTTAAATTTAAAATATTAAATCTAGCCTAAAACATGAATATTTACCACTATAACAATATTTCAAAGAAGGCACCTATGGTTTAAAGACAGTTTTCAATTAAAGAAATAGCTCAAATAATCATCAGAGCAAAACATTCAATCTTCTAAGATAACTTATACTGAAGGAGAATGCCTTTGTGAGTGTGTGTGTATGTGTGTGTATGTGTGTGTGTACAGGGTTGTATAAAATACCCTTTCAGTATTTTTAAAAAGTTTTTATACCGGGGCCCAGAGAGAAAGTACTTGCATGTGGCCAACTTGGCTCAACCCCTTGCAGCACGTATGGTTCCTAAGCACTGCTAGGAGCTATCCCTGAGCACAGAGTCCTGAGTACTACCATGTTTGACACCCCAAAACAAAACAAAAATACTAATATTACTGCAGACATGGAAATGATTTTATTTTTAAATTAGCTTGATATTTTTGTCTAAAGGAAAATTCTAAACAAAATTATAAATTTAAACTTTTAACTATTAGAAGACAAACCATGTGCTGTAATAAATTGTATTTAGCTAATTTTCTACTACTACCAAGCACTATTTTTTTAAATATAATTATGTTCGGGCCAGAGTGATAGTATAGCAGGTAGGTGCTTGCCTTGCACATGACTGACCTGGGTTTAATCCCCGGCATCCCATATTGTCCCCCAAGCACCGCCAGGAGTGATTCCTGAGTGAATCACTAAGCATAGCTGGGTGTGATAAAAAAGCAATAAATAAATAAATAAATGAAATATAATTATGTCTAAGATCTTGTGGGGTCTTCTAAATGATTTATGAGGCAAAGTAGAAAGTTGAGATGAATATAGCATATTGGCTTTCAAATTTTTCCCTTTGTTTTCTTTTGGGTTCTCTACACCTAAGAGACTTGTTAGGTCTTAAGAATATTTGGGCAGTAGCAGAGAGAAGGTATGAGGTAAGTGTTTGCCTCTTTCAAATGTGATACATTTTCCTAATTCTTCTGAGAACTGGTGGTAGAAAAGAAGGAATAGAATTATTAGTGTCAAATTGGTGTTAAAGAAGATACTGTTTAATTAATCTAAAGAAGGCAGAGTTTTGACAGGTTTCACCCCAGGCAAATTCTCTGCCCACCATTTTACAATTTCCTTCCTGCCATTTTTTAATTCTTCCTTATTTAGTCCTGTATTGTTCCTGCTTGCCAGGTGTGATTATTAAATGACTGTAGCAGGTTTGTCAAAAGAGTAGATGTTAGCCAAAAGTAGTCAGGTGCATTTGAGAGAAAAAACTAGGTGTGTCCATTGCATAAAATACACAAACATGCCATGGTATGAAGAACACTGATGGAACTAAATAAAAATTAGTAAATGCAGGCCAAAGAGAAGGACAACATGGAGGGCGGGATCCACAGATCCCGAAGGAAAAAAAAAATAAATAAAAAACAGGTTCCAAAAAGAGCCGAGATCATTGGGAAGCCCCAGATGGGGTAGGTACTGCATCCCGCCTCCCCTAGATGGAACCCCGGTGACCAGAAGCCTCCACAACCACAGCTCGAGTATGCGGGAACTTGGACTTTTCCTCAAATCTGCCGGGACTACAACTCCCAGGTAACCTCAGATTCCGGAAGTTACGCCCACAGCCCGCCCCCCAGCGCCATATTTACAGCATTCAGCCAAAGAGAAGGACAACATGGAGGGCGGGATCCACAGATCCCGAAGGAAAAAAAAAAATAAAAAAAGGTTCCAAAAAGAGCCGAGATCATCGGGAAGCCCCAGATGGGGTAGGTACCACATCCCGCCTCCCCCAGATGGAACCCCGGTGACCAGAAGCCTCTACAACTACAGCTCGAGTATGCGGGAACTTGGACTTTTCCTCAAATCTGCCGGGACTACAACTCCCAGGTAACCTCAGATTCCGGAAGTCACTCCCACAGCCCGCCCCCCAGCGCCATATTTACAGCATTCAGCCAAAGAGAAGGACAACATGGAGGGCGGGATCCACAGATCCCGAAGGGAAAAAAAATAAATAAAAAACAGGTTCCAAAAAGAGCCGAGATCATCGGGAAGCCCCAGATGGGGTAGGTACCGCATCCCGCCTCCCCCAGATGGAACCCCGGTGACCAGAAGCCTCTACAAGCACAGCTCGAGTATGCGGGAACTTGGACTTTTCCTCAAAACCACGCGGCCGCTCATGCGGCCGCGCGACATCTCTCTATATACAAAGTGATCCATGGGAAGTAAACCACCCAACGTTTCTCTCTGAAAAACATAGTTAAGCTTGGAGCACGGCCACAGCCCCAGAAACACAAGGACTTAATGCATAACTCAGCAGCTTGGAGCAGAAAAGTGAACGGGCTATACGTTAATCCAGGCCATCAAGTCTGCTGGAGGAGAAAGGGTGTTGTCCCATTCGCCCTCTCTTCTCTGGAAAGAAGGATGACGGCTGCATGGGAGCCTTGTGGACAGCAGGTATGAGCCGGGGGAGCGGGGGCGACTAAAACCTCATGGGAAGGGGGGCGTTCCGGTCCGTCCTTCACGCCCTTCCGAGGTCGCCAGTTGCCCCCCACGAGCGGCTCTCCAGCACGGCCACGGCCCCAGAAGCACAAGGACTTAATGCAGAACCCGACAGCTTGGAGTAGAAAAGTGAACGGACTATGCGTTAATCCAGGCCATCAGGTCTGTCCGGAGGGGAAAGGGTGTTGCCCCAGTCACCTTCTCCTCTCTGGAAAGAAAGATGGCAGCCACATGGGAGCCTTGTGGACAGCAGGTATGAGCCGGGGGTGTGGGGGCGACTAAAACCTCATGGGAAGGGGGGCGTTCTGGTCCGTCCTTCACGCCCTACCGAGGTCACCAGTTGCCCCCCACGAGCGGCTCTCCAGCACGGCCACAGCCCCAGGAGCACAAGGACTTAATGCAGAACTCGGCAGCTTGGAGCAGAAAAGTGAACGGACCATGCGTTAATCCAGGCCATCAAGTCTGCTGGAGGAGAAAGGGTGTTGCCCCATTCGCCCTCTCTTCTCTGGAAAGAAGGATGACGGCTGCATGGGAGCCTTGTGGACAGCAGGTATGAGCCGGGGGAGCGGGGGTGACTAAAACCTCATGGGAAGGGGGGCGTTCCGGTCCGTCCTTCACGCCCTACCGAGGTCGCCAGTTGCCCCCCACGAGCGGCTCTCCAGCACGGCCACGGCCCCAGAAGCACAAGGACTTAATGCAGAACCCGACAGCTTGGAGCAGAAAAGTGAACGGACTATGCGTTAATCCAGGCCATCAGGTCTGCCTGGAGGGGAAAGGGTGTTGCTCCCTTCCGCCCTCCTCCCTCTGGAAAGAAAGATGGCGGCCACATGGGAGCCTTGTGGACAGCAGGTATGAGCCGGGGGTGTGGGGGCGACTAAAATCTCATGGGAAGGGGGGCGTTCCAGTCCGTCCTGCACGCCCTACCGAGGTCACCAGTTGCCCCCCACGAGCGGCTCTCCAGCACGGCCACAGTCCCAGAAGCACAAGGACTTAATGCAGAACCCAGCAGCTTGGAGCAGAAAAGTGAAAGGACTATGCGTTAAACCAGGCCATCATGTCTGTCCGGAGGGGAAAGGGTGTTGCTCCCTTCCGCCCTCCTCCCTCTGGAAAGAAAGATGGTGGCCACATGGGAGCCTTGTGGACAGCAGGTATGAGCCGGGGGTGTGGGGGCGACTAAAACCTCATGGGAAGGGGGGCGTTTTGGTCCGTCCTTCATGCCCTACCGAGGTCACCAGTTGCCCCCCATGAGCGCCTCTCCAGCACGGCCACGGCCCCAGAAGCACAAGGACTTAATGCAGAACCCGGCAGCTTGGAGCAGAAAAGTGAACGGACTATGCGTTAATCCAGGCCATCAGGTCTGTCCGGAGGGGAAAGGGTGTTGCCCCAGTCGCCTTCTCCTCTCTGGAAAGAAAGATGGCGGCCGCATGGGAGCCTTGTGGACAGCAGGTATGAGCCGGGGGACTGGGGGCGACTAAAACCTCATGGGAAGGGGGGCGTTTCGGTCCGCCCTTCACGCCCTACTGAGGCCACCAGTTGCCCCCCACGAGCGGCTCTCCAGCATGGCCACGACTCCAGAACACAGAAACCAATTTCTTAACTATCTGACTTTCAGTAGAAATACTTCCAGGGTCAATAAGTAAAATAGCAGAAATCCAAAACCAACATATAATTCTTGAACCCAGCTGTAGACAGCAAATCACTTCACAATGCTTTGTCAGCATGTCTGATTCGGGGGGGGGGGGGGGTAAACTCTAAATAATAGTGGTGAATCTTTTATTGAAACAATGAATCTAATCAAAGCAGATAGAGTGTTAACTAGAATTCATCTGCCCCACAGGGACTGGGAGGGGTGGGGGGTGGGGTTTTATTGGGGTTCTTCATGGTAAAAAATAAGTTTTGGCAAAGGGAAATGTGCTTGATATTTGCATGACTGAGACCTAAACCTGAAAGCTTTGTAACCTTTCCCATGGTGATTCAATAAATAAATAAATTAATAAAAAAAATTAGTAAATGCATTTGTACTATTGGAATAAAATTAGCCTTGAATGATGTATGAAACATATATGCAGATGAATTCTTTTTACCATCTCCTTGGTACGGGGGCAACTGTTCCATTCGGTCATAGCATTTGTACTGTGCATCCATCATCTTCTTTCGTCCCAGAATATAGACAAACATATCAGGCTCCATTGTGGGAGTAACGGTCTCATTTTCAGAGTAAGGAAGAATTGGGGTTGGGTGCTGTATTAAAAAGAGAACCAGTTACTTATAAAAAATAACTTATTTCATATAAATAATCAATTAAATTTTATTATATTAATATGTATTACACACTTGTAAAATGCATTTTTATATTTATTTATGTCTGCATAAATTAAAAACATTTACTTTTATAAGCAACAATTATCATTCTATGTTGAATATTCTGCTTTTTAACTAAAGAATAAATGTACAATCAATAAATTCTACCTACGAATTTCCTATTACATTCATTACATTCACATAGTACCCAAACATATTAATTTAACTCTTTAATATATGATTGTTTAAATTTTATCACTGAAAAGTTAAGTAAAGCAAATAAACTGAACTCTAAAAATCACAAAAATCAAATTATCATTCTTTGAAACTATGAAAAACCACAACACATACTGTTACAAATAGATATTGATGTAACAATAAAATGTTAATTAAAATTTTTAGCTGATTTTTATTTGATCTTAGACTGAGAACATTCATAAATTTTACCACATTTGTTCCATGGGGGACAAAATTGCTTTTCTGAAATATTCCGCTTTGGGTAATTGGCTATAATCTCTTAATTTGATTTCATCAGCAGATGACCTAGGCATGGTAATTCATTTCACTGCTGAAGATCAATGTAAATTTCTAAACATCTTTTCCTTAGACATTTGCATTTTGGTACATGCAGTTGCAGCTGTTGGTCTTGGTTAAGTCGCAGCACCATCACAAACCCAATTTATCTGAGTTGGTATGTATGTGTGCGTGCGCATGTGTGAAAAGATTACTAGTTGAGATTTTTCTATGTTTGATTGATACAAAAATCAATTTATTCTCTGTCTATGATGTCTTTAGTGATCTTTTAATCTGCTTTTAATCTGTAGAGATTTTTTCAAGATTTTGGAAGCTATAGCTTGTGCTCCTTATTTTCTATAACATCTGTAGAAATATATTTTAAATCATCCTTATTATGTCTAAATTATTCTAAAATGGAAATTTCTCAAAATATATTGATATCAGACATAATTTGTAGGTTTTTATATTCCCCACAGTCTCTAAGGCAGTGTGGAATGCAGGTAAATTAATCATTAATTAATTGATCTGCATACCCCCGGCCATTAGTAAGAGAGCCTCACTGTTTTCCAGTGTCGGTCACTGTGTAAACAAAACACCCTGCCCTATGTGAGAGCATAGCACTAAATGCTAAACTAATACAGAGCATAATACAATAAAATTTCAGAGTTGAGTGAAAGCATGGAGCAATAATAGTCAGGGACAAGTACATATACAGAATAGAATTGAAATTTAACTTTAAGGATATGCATACATAAAGAACAGCAGAAAGACTTTCTTTTTGGAGGGAAAAGAGTGCATAAAAGTCTATAGGCTGGGATTCCATTTGTGAGCTACTATAAGGAAGCCATCATACTCAGGGGAGATTCTATTTAAGGATTAATAAAACATGGAATAAAGCAATATCTGGCAATACAGAATCATGTGTAAAGAAAGAGAAATAAAAATTGTCTAGAACATGAAAGGCTTAATTCATATTAGCTACTATTATTAAAACAACATAATACAGCAAAAAGTTGTTTGAAGTTTTTTAACCATTGAAGGTTGTTAATTGAGAGTGTTAGGAAAATTTATATGGCTGCCATCAGATGCCCAGAGATTATTTTAAGTGGAGGCTAAGCATGAAGCTGAAGTCTTGGTCCAATGCCCCCTGTGATAGAAAAGGAGGAGCGGCTCTCACAAATTTTCAAGTAACAAGAACACAAAAGCATATTTGAATATCAGGATAGAACAATAATAATTTAGCCTAAAATGCTGTAGAAAAATAAATGCCTGTGTAAGGAAAAAGTGGAAAATTGCTATACTAAGCAAAGATGACAAATTCTCTTTGGGACGTGTTTTGGGTGTGTCAACAAACCATCAAAATAAATTGCTTGCTAATAGAAAGAACAAATACTTATTACTGTCATGGTAATAGATTGACACATTTTGAATATAGTTGGTACTACTCTTTAAATATTAGTATATTTCCACGATTTCCACTTTTAATGCTTCTGAAAATGATGACAGAAGAAAAATAACTTACTAAAATGCATATGCACAGAACTGAAAATATGCAAATCCTTAAGTAATTCAGTCAGGCATAATTTTGTTATTAGATGATCCTTAACCCTCAATTCTTAATTTTCAGTGACTGTTCATAGGATTTGTGAGTCAACATTGTGCTAGCTGCTGAAGATACGATCCTGAATAAAACAAGTTTACGCCCTGCCCTCATGGAGCTTATAATCTAGAAAGAAAGACCAACACTATAAAATATTTTCTGGCACTTGAAATTGTGGCGGCAAAAAAGAACCACTAAATAGTTATATACCTAATAAGGAATTAAACTGTGTTTGAAGGTAAAAAAAATGTTTAAAGCAGTATCATGTTAAGATTCCATGCTGGATTCTATTAGCCCACATTTGTATAAATGTATATGAGTATGTATGTGTTTGTATGTATATATACATATCTGTATATATGGAGGTATACTCTGCAGTGCTTAGGGCCCACATCTGGCTATGTATTCAGAGTCCATACTGTAAGTGGTGCCAGGATTTGAACCATTGCTGCCTGTGCAGCAGCCTGGAAGACAAGTGCCTTCACTTCTGTACTATCATTGTGGATCCTGTTTTAATAATTTAACTAATGATCATGTAACAATGATCTTTAAAATATGAAGTCTTTTCAATAAAAGATGTTAATTATTGCTTAATTTTATGCATCTATTTTGGATACTTGGCAATCTAATATGAGAATTTACATGTATTTCTCTGAGCAATTGTTTAATTTTCAAGTCAAGAGAGAAGATGGAATATAATTTTTTTTCTGTGCTTACAAGAGGGACTACTTTCTGCAACAAGTGTCTAGGCATTAGGGATTATTTTACTTAAACTCGGCATAATTTCCAGAAGCAACAATCTGAATTTTGTTTTTGATGTAAAAGGAAATCTCATTAGTAAATGTTCCAACTCTGGTTGAAAATTTACAGAAGTGCTAGGAAAGCAGTATGTACATGATAGCAAGAGGAAAACCCTAGACATGCATTTTACATTACAGAATTATTCAGTTTCATGCAGTTATAATATTGGCAATAGTGGAGATACGACCATCTGAAAGAGTAGGTGCAGTTCATTCAGATGACAGTAGTATTTATTAACATTCTTACAATATTGAAACAAACTCCAGTGAACTTAATTTCAGTCTGGTTCAACAGAGATTGTTTCAACACTGAAAAAATGAAAAATTAGAATCTCTGTTGTTAGAAGAGCCACAATAATCTTCATCCTTCCCTCATCTGGTTCCTCTTGGATGGTGGATGATAGAATTTTTCCTGTGGTTGCTGAATGTTTCACAGACATTTTTATGAATATAAGACTAACACTAGGACATAATTTACACAAGAGAAAGGTAAATATAGAGTTATAAAGACAATATAAAACTAATTTATATAACATTCAAAATATCAGATTACTACTGCTTAAAACAGAACATACAAGTTTCATAAAATTCGACATTTAAGTTTTGTTGGTGATTTTATACAGATATAAATTGCTTTTGAAATGTTACAATTTTCAGCAATAAAGTGACAAACTTTGTTCTTTGAAAGATTAAAAAAAATACTTTGCTTATTTTCTTACATTTATTCTACTTGGGGATGGAGATATGCACATGAAGTTTGTTCTGTACATGAAGATAGAAATGTGACACTAAGGGCATATTGCATTCTGAAAAGACCAGTGTTCTAAGTTTTGCATGTTTCATCTCACTCAGTTTTTTTTTTAAAAAAAAAACAGGTGCTGTAGCTATAGCACAGCGGGGAGAGCATTTACCTATTTACCTTGCACGCGGCCGACCCAGGTTCGATTCCCAGCATCCAATATGGTCCCCTGAGCACCGCCAGGACTAATTCCTGAGTGCAGAGCCAGTAACAACCCCTGTGCATTGCCAGGTGTGACCCAAAATGTAAAAAAAAAAACCCCAAACCTCAATGTTCTCCTAAGTAGCTGTTTAATTGTCATATCTGTGATGTCACTCCTAAGAGTTCAAGTAAATGGCACCACATATAGGAGACTGCTAGCACTGCACTGTGGCACTGTCCTCCTGTTGTTCATCGATTTGCTCGAGCAGGCCCAGTAACATCTCCATCGTGAGACTTGTTACTTTGTTTGGCATAATGAATATGTCACAAGTAGCTTGCCAGGCATTGCCATGTGGGCGAGATACTTTCGGTAGCTTACCGGGCCTCTCCAAGAGGGGTGGAAGAATCAAACCCGGCTCAGCCAGGCTGCCTGCACGCAAGGCAAATGCCCCACTGCTGTGCCATTGCTCCAGCCCAGGAGACTTAGTAAAGCTGCCACAATAGTTGTAGTCGGCAGTTATAATATCAGCGATTCTTTCAGTTAAGAAACATTTGTGGCTAGGACTCTGGGAGGCCCGACATCCCTGAGCCTCTTCTGTTCGTTCCCAATGCTGTGCCAGTCTTCTTCCCCTCCCAGCTGGTATCCCGCCCTGCAACGAGGTACCTGTGTGGGCGTGGCCACTCAAGAAGTGGGCGCGGCTTCTGTAGAAGTGGGCGGGGCCTAATTTTTGGCCAGCCAACGCTCATGTGGCCGCAGATAGTTGTCATACCAAGAAATCTAGGGTAACATCTCAGTTCCCATACCTTCACACCAACATGAAGAAACAATGCAAATCCCCACCAGGTCGGGAGGATGGTGAAAAGAGTCCAGAAGCCTGAGTAGGTGCTCCTCACCTAAAGGACCTCTCTGAGAAATAATTAGATAAGAAGTAATGAAGATGTTCAATGAACTCAACGAAACAGTCAGACAGATATCCAGTAACATGACTGAAACAATCAAGAAATTACGGGAAGAAATGAGAGCAGAAATTGGAAAGCTACACACAGAAATGTCACGAATAAAAGACTCTGCAGATAAAATAAA